GCTGTCATCTGCTTGTCAGGAGCAGCAAGTCAGCAGAGTGAAAAGCAACTCCAAACCCTCAGCTGAGGAAGGGGAAAGAAAAAGGACACAAACAGCTCCATATCGGGAGCACAGGAAGCTGATTTATGAGGGGAGAGGTAATTGCTTTGTTAAAAATCACTTGAGGAAATACAGCTCTCTGAAGGGTAAATAGATTCTTATTTGTTGGGGGTTCAGGAAAACGTAGGTATTTATGTTGGAAAGGACGTACAGGATGCAGAAGGCTTGGAGAGTACAAGGGGAAATTAAAGGGGAATCTCTTTAAGTGAGCAGCCCTGAGCTCTCCTGTCTCCGGGAGGTGGGGCAGGTTGCATTTTGCAGCCCAAACGAGCCCATAAATAAATCCCAATAAACCCAAAGGCCACTATGCAATTCCCAGGAGTCTGCACAGGAGTTGCCTTTGAGTTTAACCTAAAGCACCACAGATCCTAATGAATTCTGCCATGGAGCCTGTGGTTTGAAGGAAAATCTTATGCAATCCACACCACTCTGTCAGGTACTACATGTGGGATTTCTAAATGTAAGAGCAAGTTCAAAGCCCAGGCTCCATTTTAAACAGAGGAGCAGTGCCTGGCTACATTATCATTAGACTATATTGGACCTGCCTGGGCTGTGTGGCTGCCAAAGAAGCAGAATCTGTTCTGAAATAACCAATCCTGGACACCAGAGACTCCTACATCTGGCATCCATTTGAATTTTTTCTACCTAGCCTCTGCAGACGTATTTCCTGCGCTGAGTATGTGGTAGTTTTTACGCCTAGAAAATCACACCTCCTTTCAGGCCCTAATGATTCTCCATGCAGTGAGTGCTACTGCAAATTCCAGCATTCCTCTACTCCCTATCCCCACTTTGGGGTTCTTAAATTGTTCAGCATTAATTTCAGAGATCATGGGTGAGCTTTGCCCAAAATTTCAGCTGCTTGGCTGAAAATAATTGGGAAAGGCAGCTATAAATGCTTTCCACTTTGCAGTTTCACAGAAGCTTTTTTTGACTTAGGGAGCCCAGGGAGACAAGTCCCAGCAAGTCTGAGGTAATTCTGGCGTGACTTTCATTGCACTGGCTGCCCACAAAGCTAAATGCCACAGTACCTGATTAGTCCATGAGAAGGATTACACGATGTGGCTGCAAGGCTGCAATCCAGATCAGTCCCACATCCTCCTCGTCTTCCTCCTCCTTTTCCTTCTCCTCTCGAGTTTCTCTGGAAGTATCCCAGCCCCTGGTGTGAAAGATGGAAAGCTCAGCCTGGTGTTTGGTGTAAGCAATATATATCGATATATACGGATATATATGGATATGTAAGCATATCTATGGATACAAATATATATAAAATATAGGTGGTGTAGCCAAACTGGGGGCTTTCTAATTGCCTCAAACCAAGGGGTAAAGGCTGAAAGCCCTGCCTGTCCCTGCACTTCTCCCTCCACAATGAAGATCTCTTGGAACAGGGTCAGAAGAGGCACAAAGATGCTCCGAGGGCTGGAACACCTCTGCTCCAGGCTGGGAGAGCTGGGAATGTCCAAGGAGAGCTCAGAGCCCCTTGCAGAGCCTAAAGGGGCTCCAGGAGAGCTGGAGAGGGACTGGGGACAAGGGATGGAGGGACAGGACACAGGGAATGGCTTTATGCTGGGAGAGGGAAGATTTAAGTTGGAAATTGGGAAGGAATTCTTGGCGGTGAGGGTGAGGCCCTTCCCAGAGAAGCTGTGGCTACCCTTGGATCCCTGGAAATATCCCAGATCAGGTTGGATGGGGCTTGGAGCAGCCTGGCACAGTGGAAGGTGTCCCTGCCACGGCAGGGGATGGAACGAGATGAAATTTAAGCTCCCTTCCAACCCAAACCACTGTGGCATTCCGTAAGGCCTCGGACGCGGCAGCCGCAGGGCCGCGGGGAGAGCAGAGCGCTGTAACAGCCGCCCGGCAGCGGTTCCCGGAGCGAGGCCGGGCAGGAGCGGAGCGGGGCCGAGCCTCAAGCGGGGCTGGGCCGGGCTCGGAGCGGGCGGAGAGCGGGGCCGGGCCGGGCCGGGAGCGGGGCCCGCGTTGGCCGCGCCGGGGCGCTGCGGCGGCGCGGAGCCACAGCCGGCCCGTCCCGTCCCGAGCCGAGCGAACCCGGCCCGGCTCGGCCGCGGAAGGAGAACGAGAAGGAGGAGGAGAAGGAGGAGGAGGAAAAGGAGGAGGCGGCCACCGTGCTCCCCCTCCTTCCCTCCCTCCCCGGCGGGACAAAGGGCTGCGGCGCGCAGGTAGGAGCCGGCCCGGCCTGGCCGCCCCGGCGGACGGGCCGCAGCGCCGGCGGCACCGGAGCTCCTTCCCCGCTTCCTGGTTACCCCGGGGAGCCCCGGGAGCCGCGGAGGGCGCGGCCGCTCGCCCGCCTTTGTGTGGGCCGGCCCGAGCCCCCCTGAGCCGCCGTTGCCGCCGCAGGAGCCATGGGCCGGGGGCCGCCGCGCTAGGGGAGCATCCCGGGGCCGGCGGGGACGCGGCGCTGGACATGGAGCCGGCGGCGCGGGCCAGCGGGGATATCCTGAGGCGGAACCCGCAGCAGGACTACGAGCTGATCCAGCGGGTGGGGAGCGGCACCTACGGCGACGTGTACAAGGTGAGCGGCGGGGGGGCCGCCTGTGGCAGAGCCGGAGGATTCCCTCTTGTGTGCAAAGGGATTGACTGTGAGGGAGGTGAGGCCCTGAGAGGAGCTGGCGCCTGGATCTCTGGAAGTGTGCAAGGCTTGGAGCACTCTGGGATAGATGAACGTTTCCCTGTTCAATGCAAGGGGTTTGACTGAATGAGATCTTTAGGGTTCTTTCCCACCCAAACCATTGTGGGATGTGTGCTTGCAGCGCCAGGGAAGGCTCTCTGTCCCCGCTGCCCTTCCTGGCGGTTTGAATTGGGGAATATCGCAGGCGATACTCCCCACGTTACTGCCCCAGGAGGTAGAGGATCTCTCTTGGCTGTACCTGTTTGCAGAACGCATCCAGTTAAAGCACCTGATTAAAAGGGTGCCACTTTATCCCCGAGGTTAATAATAGCCCGTGAAAAGCAGAAGCAGATTAAAGCTCTTCAGGAGCTGGAACGGAGCTGCAGCACGGGGCAGAGTTAGTGCAGCACATCAAGTAGATGCTCTTGGAATGGTGCATACAAAGAGTGACCCCGTCCATGCAACTGGGTGATCTTTAGGTCTCTTCCAAGCCAAACCATTGTGAGATTCTGTAATTTCGTATTGGTGCTCACATCACCAGAACCGTGGGGAGCAGGAGGTGCAGGCAGTGGTGTGTTCTTCTCACATGAGCCCTGTCCTCAAACATCAGGGATGTTCCTCAACCACCAGGGATGTTCCTCATACCTCAGCAGCTTTTAGGGCTGGGTGAATTATAAAGAAAGCCTTAAAGTTTTCAGCCTGCACTTGGCAATGTGCGTGTTCAGCTGCACGGGCAGGGAGGCTGTGGGATGTTTTCCTTTGTAGTGCTGTTGAGTGTGTTTTAAAATAGACCTGACACAGCCAAGCGTGCAAGGGAAGGTGTGTTACTGTGCCACATGAAAGGCAGCAGTAATTACTCCTGCTGGGGGAGGGCTCTTTGCTAATGCTCAAATTGAAGTTTTATAGATGGATCCTGTTCCCACCACCCCTTTGAAATGGTTACTTATGACCTTAGGGAGTTATTTTTAAAAGTTTTCGTGGTGCATATTTATCTTCCTCTTTTATTTTTTTTTTCTCCTACAGTGCTGCGCACAGATCAGTCACTAACTTCTTTCCTAGGGATTCTAGCACTAAATCCTTTAAAAGAACTTTTCAGCTTTCATAAATCTGGAACTTGGCATACCTTGAGCTGCTTTGTTTGTGTGTGCCTGCCCAGTGCAGGGCAGCATGACAAGAAATAACCAGGCAGCACGACAAGAAATAACTAGTTGCGTTGCAGGGAAGTGTTTTTGTGTCATCTCTTTGTGGAAAAAGAAATATTCTGCTTCTCATTATCCTGGTAATTAGTGGAGAGCTGTGCTGACATGTCATCCAGCTTCCGGTTCCGGAGCTGGGTTGGATGCATGGCTCTGCTCTGTGCCATGTAAACACATCCATCCCCTTTTAAACAAAAAAAAAAAAAAAAAAAAAAAAACCAAAAAAACCACAGCCCTCTGTCCCCCTCCTCCACTCTCTGGGTTATGAAAAATGCGCCTTCTACTCCTGAAACGGTTTCAGATAAGGAGCAAACCCAAACTTTTCTCCTCGTGCAGCCTGGTAAATTTAAATCAGAGGTTTTTTGGCAGCCGTTGCAGGCGTTGTTATGAGTCCGAACCGAGTATAAAGTTAATGAGTTTAAAGTAGTTGGAGAGGCTGCATTTGTTTCTAGGTCATTGGTTTGCTCTTTGTTTTTGTAAAGGCCTGCAACAGGAACTGTATCAAGGGAATACTGAATCAGATGGCACTGCCTCTTATGACAAATATGCACAAGCAAACTCATTTTTTAAAGGCATTGATGTTATGATAATTTTAAAAGTAAGGTAAACCTTTTTTTTTCTTGAAAGGACTTAACGTATAAACATTGTACTTTTATTTTTCATAGTCCCTGGTAAGTCTCAGTGCACATGGCACATCTTGTGCTCGCTGAGGGCTGTCGGAAGTGTTTATGAAATGCATTTATTAGTGAATATCCAAGTGTTCTTATGTTGCAGAGCTCGGGGAGGGTTTACTAGAGAGTGCTCTTAAATTAAAATGGAATTTTCCCCTCACCTCTTCAAGTGGTTTCTCTGCTCCTTCACTAATAATGAGTCACCAGCGTCTCCAGCACAGTTGTTTTTGGGATGTCTGAGCCAGGCAGCCTCTCTGATTGTGGGACATCTGCCTCTTCCTCAGATGCTTTTTGGTGATGGTGGTTAATGCTTTAAATTCTTCATGGGGCATTTGGTAGCTTTTAGAGTAATTGGCTTTTTTTTTGTATGGTGAAGGTGGAGGTTAAGCAAATATTTATCTTCACTATTAAGTTACAGAAGAATATTTAAGGCTTTCCCAAAATTCTCCTGCCCACTTTGCTTTGTGTTATTACCATGAAAGCTTTAAACAAAAAAAAAGCTTATTTTTTTTCTTAGTGTTTGTGGGGTTTATTTCTCTTGTCTGTCACATGGCACACAATGGTTGATTGTAGGATTGCTCCTAAGTGCTGGATTGTTGATGTTGTTTTAATATCTTTTTTCCCCAAAATGCATTTCAGAGCTGGGGAGAAACCATCTGTAAATAAACTCTTGTCTATTCACAGCCTGTGTAAATAGATCCAAGTTTGGGTCTAGCAGTCTTGGAAGTAATTTCCATTACAATCCTGACTTGCTAGTTGTCTCAACTAACCCGTGGTGGGAAAGCTTTTTTCTTTTTAATGGAGGGTATTAACATTAAACCAGTTCTGATCCATTGGAATAATTTATACCCCACAACATTGCACTGAGATATCTTGAATTACTGACTTATGAAAGAGGTTGAAATAACAAAGATGAGAACTGGAACTTAGTAATGTGCTGTTTTAAAAAATAGTATTTTTATGTCCCCAGTGTCTCTCAAATCTAATCTGGCTTTCCTGGAAAGGTCTTCCCACTGTAGTCATAAAAATGAATATCTCAAAGCAGTGTTTAAAAATGACAAATTTGTTCTGCTTGCATTCAGAAATTCTGAAATGCATCTGTTTCATGCTGAAATAGATGTTGTGTGTGTGTGTGGTCAATGAAGAAACACACATTTGACTGGGGTCTTGGAACAGAAAATTCATAAAAGCTGCTGGAGACTCTAAATGGAATTTAACCTCCAGCAGTAGGAAGTGGCTGCTCAGATCCCATCCCAGGTAAATTCCCAGTGTGGTTAGATGTTCCCCAGGATGAGTTTTCACACCAGCATGACCTGTGAATGAACCTGCAGCTTTTCAGTAGGGCTTTGTAGTCCTAATTTGTTTAAGGCTGGTTTGATAGCAAGGTCACACCATCAGCTGTATAATCACACGTTCCTGCAGTCCATGGTATTTTCTGGAAGTACTTGGAATAGCATAAGACTGGCTTGTTTTGCTTAACTTGTGGAATTTGGTTGCATCAGAACATCCAGTCATTTGCTTGTGTGTAATTGTGGATTCTTGGTGTCCTCAAGGGACTTTGGAAAACAGGAGTTGTATTCAGGGATAATTCACTGCTGCTCATCCTTCCTGAGATTTCCTGGATGGATTTTTTTTTTTTTTTTATTGGAGTGTTTATTAATGGCTCTGAAGGGGTTTTATTGGATTTAGGGGAAATATTCAAGTGTCCAAGGCCAGGTTGGATGAGGCTTGGAGCAGCCTGGGGCAGTGGAGGGTGAAGTGGAAATGGGGTGGAATGGGATGGGATTTAAGCTCCCTTCCAACCCCAACCATTCCCAAGGCTCAGCTTTTTGTGTTTTTCATTCCAAGTGACCCAAACAGAGTTTTAACTGATCCTTGCTTGTGCAGAGGGGAACAAAAGGGCGGTTGATGTAAATGGATGTAAATTCATCCTTGTTGAATGCTGTTGTTTGGCAGCTGAGCTGGGAGCCCGTGGATGTGCCGGGATGTCTGTGCTCCCCGATGATCAAACATGACCTTGTGCAGCAATTCTAAAGCTGGCTTGTTTGGGCTTTTCCAAGCTGGATTGTGAGCAGTGCCACAGTGGCTTTCTTGAAAAGTAAGCACAAGGGACAAGGAATGCACCAAATTCATGGCAGAAACTGCCTGTAAACAAGAGCATTTTTATTGAATATCATGAAAATTTCATTCTTTTTGGAGTCACCTGCTCAGTCTCTCTTCTGTTGGGGTTATTATCATTATTTTTTAATCTGCTGCACCAAATAAAGGCATCAACTTAGAAGAAACCTTTAGTGTTTTGCCACTGATAGCTGCTGGAAAATAGTGAGCAATGAAATTGGATTGTGGCACACACAGACTCTTTGCTCAAATGCAATTTAAAGCAAACAACAAAAAGATTTGTTTTCCTTTCTTTGTGTTTTTGTTTGTTTTTTTTTTTTTTTAAGTTGCTGTAAAATTGTGACTCTCTCCAGTTTGAATCAGGCTTCAACCCTGCTTGTGTGGTCACTGCCTTGTTCTCAGACCTCTGGATTCTAATTCCTGGCACAGCCAAAGGCTATTGAGAACCTGGATTTGATGTTTAGAAAATAATTCTCAATGTCATTCTAATCTCTCAGATAATGTACATTTATCAGTTGAAGTGTTTTACTGCTTAAGTCAACAGGTTAAGAAAAGAGCATTAAAGCTTTTTATTTTTTGATACCAGAGAACAGTTATGGCTGTGACAGCTTTTAATCACATATTCCCAACTTCACACAAATATATTTTGGCAGCTGCAGACCAATAGGGTTTGGCCATCCCTGACTCAGCACTTCTGTCCCTGGTGAATATACTTTGCTTGCCCATATAAATGACCATAAAACATCTGTCCTATGGGGGATTGCACTTTCCCTCTGCACATCAAAGCCCTTTGGTCAGCACTGTTTGCTGTAGTCATGCCTGAACTCTTATGTGCTTTTTTTCCATAGGAATGGTGTTTGGAATGACATCAAACCAATGCTCTTGAGTTTTTTCTTACTGCTGTGGAGTTCCTCTTCTG